ACCAATTGAGCATCGTTGCAACGCCACAGCCTACCTGAGTATTGTTGCTGACCATGTCCATCCCTTCATGACCACAATGTACCCAACTTCTGATGGCTACTTTCAGCAGGATAATGCGCCATGTCATAAAGCTGGAATCATCTCAGACTGGTTTCTTGAACATGCCAATTAGTTCACTGTACTCAAATGGCCTCCACAGTCACCAGATCTCAATCCAATAGAGCATCTTTGGGATGTGGTGGAACGGGAGATTTGCATCATGGATGTGCAGCTGACAAATCTGCGGCAACTGTGTGATGCCATCATGTCAATATGGACCAAACTCCCTGAGGAATGCTTCCAGCACCCTGTTGAATCTATGCCATGAAGAATTGAGGCAGTTCTGAAGGCAAAAGGCGGTCCAAACCGTTTCTAGCATGGGGTACCTAATAAAGTGGCCGGTGAGTGTATATATCCACTTGGAGAAGCTGTGTATCCAAATGGAGCCAGCATTTAGGAGAGTGTGGGTAGGGGAGAATAACCCAAAGGAACAAAGTAATTAAGTAATGAAGATAATCCAGCAAGGACAAACTGCACATAAGGTGTTTATATGGGAGATACAATAAAGAATGGGTTAATCGGCTGATAGAGAGCAGGTTTGGATAGAAGAAACTAGAAGGGTAAAGGAGACTGGCACAAGGGGGCAACAGAGATTAACCAGTGGCGGCTGGTGGAGTTTTCTCCAGGGGGGGCTATAAATTCAAAATAGACGTTAGTCAACAATGCAACAAAACATGAAATTAAGCTTTACTCATCATTACAGATTAAATCTTCATCTTGCACATCTAAAACATATACATCAATATATTTCGAAATGTTTTAATGTTATTAATTTTTTAAATTTTTTTATTTTATCTTAAATTATGACTCTTAATCAAGGTCATGAGGCTGGTGGGGCAGCGCCCTAGCGCCCTCTATTGGCCAGTCGCCACTGAGAGTAACAAAAAAAACATTGCTAAAATAGAACTAGAAAACAACTAGAATGGCACAATTGACCCAGAAAAGACGAAATTAGATAGATAGATAGATAGATAGATAGATAGATAGATAGATAGATAGATAGATAGATAGATAGATAGATAGATAGATAGATAGATAGATAGATAGATAGATAGATAGATAGATAGATAGATAGATAGATAGATAGATAGATAGATAGATAGATAGATAGATAGATAGATAGATAGATAGATAGATAGATAGATAGATCTGTTTTTTTTAGGGCATGCACTTGCAGCCTTTCAGCTTCTGTCACATTAAGGAAATTCGGGTCATTAAACAGTCAGGTTTTAGTTCACCGTACCCCAGGACAGTCACACACGTGGTTGTGGAAAACTGAACTCTAGATAATGTGTTTCATTAAGCCATTACAGGTAACCAGAATGAAAGAGAAGCACTCTCCTTAAGTGGAAAATATTGCACCATAAAACATCAAATAAAAATCTCTTCTCATGCTGCTGTCCTTTGTCTTTGCTTGTCTGTACATAAAACACAGAGGGGCTGAGTGCCAGATCAGTGTGTGCTTACAATAAAACAGCAATTTGGTGGAATCAGGGGAAAAGCTAACAACACATTTGGTTTCTAGAGGGGAATATCTGTGAGCTAACACAGGCTGCCATAAAGTCTTGTGACCTATACCTGGATTTACAAGAAGGTTTTGTATGCATAAAACTGTCCCTTAATGCTTAACATTAGTTAAAACCTGATGTTTCGGTATACTTTATAAAGAATACTGCAAACATTGTTTCTCACAGTTTAAAATTAAACCAAACATTTTCTAAATGCAAAAATAGTGAGAATTTTATAGAACTCATTATAAGACTCTTTACAATCCACAGTTTACATACATTTTGAATTCTCAATTTTTCTCCATACATGAGAAATGAAAAAACAATATATACCTAGCACATTGCAATTTTATTTTAATTAGCATACTTCCAGTCTTTTAACAGATTTTTCAGTCAGATCTGACTTGAGTTATTTTTAAATGTTAATAAACCTATTTAGAAATTGTTTTATTGTAACTGCAACTATAGGTGTCTCTTAATGAATACCCGTTGTCAAGCTCTTTGCATATTCCCATTAGCTACAAGCTATAAGTACAATATCCCCACTGCATGCTGCCACTTCCAGTTTGTTCTGATGACAATGGTGTATTCAGGGTGATGAGTACTGCATGTTTTTTTCGTAGCACATTTTAAAGAAATGCTCTCCAACCTCGGTTCCTAAGTTCTACTGTCCTGCAACTTTTAGATGCATCCCTGCTCCCAGACCTAAAAAGGGGCTAAATCATCTCAGCAGGTAATCAAGAAGTACAAAGCCCTGGCGATGAGCCATTTGATTTGGGTGTGTTGGAACAAAGGTGAATCTAAAGATTACAGTACAGTAGCCCTTGAAACCATAGCTCGGAGATGTAAGCCAACAATTTAATCTTTTAATCTCCTGTGACCTGAGTACCATTTTATAATGAACTGTAAACAATTCATTTTTCTTGCCATTTTTTCCATGAGGGACATCTTTTTGGGTAGCATAAATAAAGTCATGCCATTGAACACTACAGCTGCTTCAAAGTTTCCATCATTGTCTCCCTGATATACACATAACCTTTCCTTGCTTGCAGTGGTGCTATATTCTTTTTATTTTGAGATGATTGTATTAATAAAAATATGTAAAATGTCCGAAGCTTGTCATACTGTTGTGCAGTCTGACCTTCAATGTTATTCTTGTCCTACCTGCTGTATTCTTTGGTTCTTATGATGACTTTTTATGGATGTGGATTTTATTTCTGGCTGTTTGATCAATGGGGCAAATGCCTATAGACCTCACTTTGGTTTACTATCTTCTTTCACGTTATATATATAATCTAAAAATGTAAACTACTGTACTGGTCTTAAAAAAAAAGTACAGCAGCCAATTTAGCTGTGGTCAAAATGTGACAAATATGAAGAGCACAAAAGGTGTGACCACAAAGCACTATTATAGGTAAGGATCGTAAACAAATGCATACATTATATATATCTATCCATCTGTCTATATAGAGAAATATATATATATATATATATATATATATATATATATATATATATATATATATATATATATATATATATATATATATATATATATATATATATATATATATATATATATATATATATATATATATATATACAGGTGCTGGTCATAAAATTAGAATATCATGAAAAAGTAGATTGATTTCAGTAATTCCATTTAAAAAGTGAAACTTGTATATTATATTCATACATTACATACAAACTCATATATTTCAGATGTTTATTTTGTTTAATTTTGATGATTACAAATGACAACAAATGAAAATCTCAAATTCATCATATCAGAAAATTAGAATATTGTGAAAAGGTTCAAAATTGATGGCCCCTGGTGCCACACTCTAATCAGCTAATTAACTCAAACCACCTGCAAAAGCCTTTAAATGGTCTTTCAGTCTAGTTCTATAGGCTACACAATCATGGGGAAGACTGCTGACTTGACAGTTGTCCAAAAGACGACCATCGACACCTTGCACAAGGAGGGCAAGACACAAAAGGTCATCGCTAAAGAGGCTGGCTGTTCACAGAGCTCAGTGTCCAAGCACATTAATAGAGAGGCGAAGGGAAGGAAAAGATGTGGTCGAAAAAAGTGTACAAGCAAGAGAGATAACCGCACCCTGGAGAGGATTGTGAAACAAAACCCATTCAAAAATGTGGGGGAGATTCACAAAGAGTGGACTGCAGCTGGAGTGAGTGCTTCAAGAACCACCACACACAGACGTATGAAAGACATGGGTTTCTGCTGTCGCATTCCTTGTGTCAAGCCACTCTTGAACCACAGACAGCGTCAGAAGCGTCTTGCCTGGGCTAAAGAGAAACAGGACTGGACTGCTGGTGAGTGGTCCAAAGTCATGTTCTCTGATGAAAGTAAATTTTGCATTTCCTTTGGAAATCAAGGTCCCAGAGTCTGGAGGAAAAGAAGAGAGGCACTTCATCCACGTTGCTTGAAGTCCAGTGTAAAGTTTCCACAGTCAGTGATGGTTTGGGGTGCCATGTCATCTGCTGGTGTTGGTCCATTGTGTTTTCTGAGGTCCAGGGTCAACGCAGCCACATACCAGGAAGTTTTAGAGCACTTCATGCTTCCTGCAGCTGACCAACTTTTTGGAGATGCAGATTTCATTTTCCAACAGGACTTGGCACCTGCACACAGTGCCAAAGCTACCAGTACCTGGTTGAAGGACCATGGTATCCCTGTTCTTAATTGGCCAGCAAACTCTCCTGACCTTAACCCCATAGAAAATCTATGGGGTATTGTGAAGAAGAAGATGCAATACACCAGACCCAACAATTCAGAAGAGCTAAAAACCACTATTAGAGCAACCTGGGCTATCATAACACCTGAGCAGTGCCACAGACTGATCGACTCCATGCCACGCTGCATTGCTGCAGTAATACAGGCCAAAGGAGGCCCAACTAAATACTGAGTGCTGTACATGCTCATACTTTTCATGTTCATACTTTTCAGTTGGCCAACATTTCTATAAATCCTTTGTTTTTATTGGTCTTCAGTAATATTCTAATTTTCTGATATGATGAATTTGAGATTTTCATTTGTTGTCATTTGTAATCATCAAAATTAAACAAAATAAACATCTGAAATATATGAGTTTGTATGTAATGTATGAATATAATATACAAGTTTCACTTTTTAAATGGAATTACTGAAATCAATCTACTTTTTCATGATATTCTAATTTTATGACCAGCACCTGTATATATATATATATATATATATATATATATATATATATATATATATATATATATATATATATATATATATATATATATATATATATGTATGTATGTATGTATGTGTGTGTGTGTAGTTTGGAAAGCCCCTCCACTTTGAACTCTCGTATCCAGAAGCGACACCTCAACCCAGTTCTCACAGGTGGGCGGGACTTCCGGTTGCAAGGACCCGGAAGATTCGCTGCCTGCATCCATATGCCCGCTACTTGTAACATATTAATGTAATTTAGACAGTTTTCTACTGTGTAGTATTAGCAAACATGTTATCTTTAGACTTTTTCGACGACGTCCGACGCATGAATAAGCGTCAGGTAGGTATCACAGCTTTAGCTTCTTCTCATCTAACGCCTGTCTCTTTGTGCGTTGAGTACCTCTAAGCTAACCACAACAAGCCGCTCCGCGCCTTATAAACGCCGCTCATTTCTCTGGACAAACCCTCTGCAGATTGAAACAATGTGTTTGCGTTTGGGGAGATTAATTTCAAACGCTTCAAAAATGAGTATAACACCGTTTGTTTATTATACAGCACACGCTGTAACAGGCTGTTATCCACATTGCTGCCGACAGATGTTGCTCCGACTAAAGCAAAGTTATAAAGATATTCACACATTCGGCTGTTTGGACCAACTACTTATCTGTGGAGCATTTCTTCTACAAAATCGAAACCTTTCTGCATGCACAGGAAGGCAGACAGTGAAATACAATCGTATTTTCCTTTAAACGAGCAGAGATACTGGCCCTGGTCTCTGGGCTCTTTAATGAAAATCCCCTGCCAGCAATGTAAAACTATTCAAAAGCTCTACTCAGGACAAGTATGTTATCATCAAAATCACTTTATATGATCTCACATATTTCATATTGGTCACATATTTCATATACCTTTCTTGGACTGGGTAAAAGTAGTTTAAAATATTGAAGGAATTTCCTAAAACCCTGTAGTCTAAGCAGAGAAAGTTAAAGGGCTTTCATTTGAATGACTTTTGTATTATATTAATAAGTAGCTAATTCCTACATAGTAATATTGTTTTAATTAATAAAGTAACTTTAAAATTAGCAATCAGAGGCACAGCACGCACATAGGGCCTCATTCTGATCACACTACTCCTTTTACTTTGCTTAAATGTGCTTACTTTTATTTTCTTTTTTTAGCCCTAAAAATAACACTAAAGCAACATTAGCTACACCACAAACAGTTTGAAGGCCATCAAACTCACAGTACACATAGAACTCTTTAGTAAAATTATTTTACAGATTTAACAAATATTCTCCAGATAACATGCTTTTGTTTATTTCTGCCTATTGAATGAGATTGCTTGCTCTCAGTTGTATTACCAGGTTTTGAACTTCGGTATGATTGTGTCTTCTGCGCTGATGATCTGGAAAGGACTGATGGTTGTCACTGGCAGCGAAAGCCCTATTGTTGTTGTCCTCAGGTAAATCTAGTATTTATTTCTGTTTTGAATTTGGATTAAACACGTTTTTGAGTTCTTGCTTTTCACCTTTACTTTAATTGCTTATGAACATATGCTGTTTGCTTCTGGCTATTTATGTTTATTTGGTTTTATTAATGTAATGTTATCCAGTCTCATCCTTTTATGTTAAGAATAAATAAAAATATATTTTAATGAAACCGACTTTTCTTGTTTTTGTTTACCTGTTTATTTTAGTGGGAGTATGGAACCAGCTTTTCACAGAGGGGATCTTCTGTTTTTGACCAATCGAGTGGAGGACCCCATCAGAGTTGGAGAGATTGTTGTCTTCAGGATAGAAGGCAGAGAGATCCCAATAGTACACAGAGTGCTGAAGATCCATGAAAAGTATGAATGCATATTTTCATATAAAAGCTTTCTTTGAATCCTGTTTTTTTTTAAATGCTATTTATTTATTTTTTGCTATCAGAATGACTCTCAGAGAAACCTCTGTGACCTTTCTAACTTATGTCACCAAGGTGGAGAAAGAGGTTTTGCATCCTCTGTGTTCTGGAAATGAGGCTGTTGATTTGTTCACAGGGAAAATGGTGACATTAAGTTCTTGACCAAAGGAGACAACAATGCAGTCGATGATAGAGGATTGTACAAGCAGGGCCAACATTGGCTGGAGAAAAAGGATGTGGTGGGACGAGCGAGGGGGTAAGTTGTTTTACTAATTTTCTACAGTGAGTTGGTATAATTTTTCTTCACAACCACAAGGCTTCACATTAAAACTAAGTGGATTTTTATAAAATCTGACCATTTTTTTTTTGGATAGAATAAGCTTTTATTTCCTCTTTTGACAAATCTCAAAATATTAAGTAAAGAATCGAGTGAGTATTTTAACATTTGTTGTACTTGTTATAGTTTCTTATATGGCTGAATGATTTTACCTAAAATCTAAATTGCGATTATTTTTTTGCCAAAATTGCGATTTTATTTTGATTCTCATTTGCACTTGTAGATGTTTTACCCCAGGCTTTTGGTTTTTGACAGCTTGCTTGCCCAGAGCCTATTGTTACATGGCATTTCTGTAACTATTGTATGAGAAAGTGTTTACCTTTACTTGCTTGCGTGAATTTGTGTGCTGGCTGCAACTCCTTCTTCCTTTCTGTGTGGCGACAAACCCACTTCAAGCATTTAATCGGCATCTAAAGGCCTGGAGGGAGACATTTAATCTCTTACTCTTGTTAAAAATAGATTTAATAGTGATTAAAAATCAGTGCCTCTGCGATTTGAAAATCGTGTTTTCATAAATTGCAATTATATTGCAAATGTATTTAATTGCCCAGCCCTTGTTCCTTTAATGTTTTATTTCCTTACCATGCATGGCTGAAAACGGGTATATCTTTCAGATTCATAATCAATCAAAGCAGTTAAGAGATATTTGTAAATTGGATTCAGTCTAAATATTTTAATCTTAGCTGCTCTTTGGCTTTAATTTAATCAGTCGTTTACTATTTTTAAAACATCCCAAGACAAAGCAGAACCATCTCAAGTGTAAAATGTAGCCCGTTGAAATGTCTAGTCATAATCATTGCAACATCTTTTTGAGTTGAAGACACATCGAGCACATAGCGGTGTGTTGCATCAGTGGATGTGTTTTATACAACAGATACCAGCTTGTAAGAGGAGTGGTTTTAAGAATATTTTTTTTTTAATTATTTTCTTTGGATTAGTTGGATATGAGGAAGCACAATGGCTGCTACTACACTGATAGTTCAGTTTTTTTTTTACCTCTCTGGTCTAGTTTGCAACAGCAGTGTAAGTTTAATCATCATCAAAGTCATTCATGCCTGTCAAACTAGATTTACTTTGTCAAACACAAAATTATTTTCCTTTTTACATTTTGTTCAAACATTTTGTAGAAACATATTTTTGTGAGAATATGGTTAAAGTTCATCATAGTATGTTCAGAATATGAAAGGGCATTCTTAAAAATAAATCAGCTTTTATGAATTTTCTGTTCATTTATTGTTTTTGGAAGTGTATTGTGGCAACTGAGAATTAAGTGTTCACAAAAGAGAGGGACATTCAGTACAATTCTGCGAGCGGATTGCGTATCTGCCTCTCATGTCGAGTTTATAGCCAATCACAGCAGCTGTAGCAGCTTAATTCTTTCGCAACTAGCGGAGTAGACTTATAAATCAAAATCTTACCAAATGCGGTCAGGGAGAACATGCTAACATCCCTCTATCCACAAAGGCAAAAATAGTTTCCTTTTGCTTGTTTTTCAAAAAGAGATGGCGTGTATTCCAGCTAAAACCTGCACAGCCATGTTTGTTTTGCTTCAGCCTCTGCTTGATGCGCTGACATCATACATGTTACTGCATTTTGTTGGTCCGAAACATTTCTGTATTGAGGTTAACGCATCTGCTTGCTCCTGGCAAGATGTATTTGTGGGGAGTTTGGGAATTTTGCTTGCAAGCTAATAGATTTGGTCTTTCCCCTACCATAATCCAAGGCGGATGCCCCCCCTCCTCGATTGAGCCCGCCATTCCTGCATGCTTTATTCGTCACTGACACATAATGATGCTGAATCACATGCAGGATAAGTGACCGTTTTTGAGAGGTAGTGGAAAAGGGGGCTTATGTTATGCAGGGTCACTAGGCTAATAATTGTAATCATTGAATGTATTAGCATGTTTTTAGTTGTGGAATTGCAGCAAAGAACGATCATTTAATGTACTTTATAGGGATTTTCTACATGCTACCTCTGGAATGGCAGTATCTCACATTTTTAATACAATGAATGCAAGAGTTGTTCTTCTGTTTCGGCCACACTTGCAGTCAGTCCCCCTTTAGAGTCGCAGCTAAAATCTGTTTGATGATGAGTTTGCAAGTGTGAGAAGAAAACTGAGCTGACCTCAGTCACAGTCAAGCAATCTGAAATTTTAAGATCTAATTGTTAGCTGTCATGCAGTGTAAACTAATTATGGAGGACCAACTCTGCCATATTTAAAAATAAATACAGAAATAAATAAATGCTCAATAAATATATAAGCATACAATTAATTGCCAACAAAATTCCAACAAACAAATAAATGTAAGTAGAAATTAAATTATGCAGTGAGACATAAATGTATATAACTTTTAATAAAGAAGCCAATTAAAAGTTATATACATTTATGTCTCACTGTATAATTTAATTTCTACTTACATTTATTTGTTTGTTGGAATTTTGTTGGCAATTAATTGTATGCTTATATATTTATAGAGCATTTATTTATTTCTGTATTTATTTTTAAATATGGCAGAGTTGGTCCTCCATAACTAATAACAAAATCAACTGTAAATGCATGGGTTGCCAAAGGCCAGTGGAGAATAAAAACACAGACAGCAGTTTTGATCTGGATATTTTCTAAACTTTATTTGTAGCTAACCAATAAAATGAACATAAATGTCAAACAGCACTGGTTATAAGTAATTTCAATAACAAAGTGCTGAAAAACAAACATAACAGAGATACTCGTATTTATAACTAAAACACGTTAAGGGGGAGCATCTTGATAGCTTATATATTGAATGTAACGTTAACGGGACTAAATTAATGAATCTGATTATTCTGAATGATGTATTTCCATGTCGAATAAACATTTTTACTAAACTCGCTTCACTTGTTTTTGACTGATCCATATTTCCAGCCGAAATGTTCTTTAAAATAAAAATTTCCGATTAAAACTTACAGTGACAGTAATTACAAAACCCACAAACATTCTGAAATACATGCTCCATATTTTCAATGACGTTATAACCAGCAATAGGATAAACATTACCTAGAACATGATCAGTTGTGGATTAAACTTGACATATTTTAGATTATATCATATTTTTTCAGTTTGTGAGGAAGATGAACAGTAATTTATCCTATCTGAATATCTAAGAATATCTTGTATTACTGCACCTACTGGCATGTTTGTTCCTTCAAACTGTTGCTCCCTTCAATTGGTCTCTAAAAAGCAATCCCATATTCTGTTCTGTTGAAAAGTTGACTGTTAAATCTAGGGCTAAACAATTGGATTAATCGATTATTGAAATAATAATGTGATAATTTAGTATTCAAAATATTAACTGGAGCATAGAGAATCTAAAACATGCCTTTAACTGACAGAGCAACCCATTTGGAGCAGTAATTATATCAAAATTGTATACATAATAATATATAAACATATATAAACGTTTACATTTAAGATTAAAAAACATTTTTGCCTGTCAATATGCTCTATCCAGAACTGCTGAAGTGGAAAAGTTTTAGTTTCATCATGTTTAATTTAGTAAAAAAGAAGAATCCTTTTTAAGGAACCCTTGGATTTCTGATTATTAACTTAAAAGATTATCAACAGATTAATTCATTCGCAAAATATTCTTTAGTTGCAGCCCTTATTACCCAGTCGTGACAAAAAGGATGTCTTGGTGTGAGCACCCAGTGATAAAGTTGTCGTGTTACCCCAGCTAAATGGTAATTCCACCTCGCTCTCAAGGTTTAGCCTGATGTTCTTAATCTATTCTTCAAATTCAAAGTAAGAAACTTCTTAGATTTCTTTTTAAATATACCTTTATAACAAGTAGTACTTTTAGCTCCCATAAGTTCGGATTCTATTTAAACTTATTTAAAGGAGGGATTTTGGATCTAATAGCTTGGCTCATTAATATCAGGAAACCATGTAATCATGAGCCTATTACTGAATATTGTAAGGACTGGATCAGTTACAATGCAGCTGCACTTACACATAGTATGGAAAGCGCTAGAGGTTTTTGGAATAGTAGTTAGTGCAGACAGTGTGGAAATAATAGAATAAATTGATTTATATTTGCTTGGCTGTTTTAAAAATTGCTTGGCTGCTTTTATTACCAGATGGAAAAGCTGTGGATCGGTTCTGCGATGAGAATTGTTGGTTTGATTCCGGCTTCTTCAAACCTACCAGTTGATGAATTAATGGATCAAAGTTTTTTTTAAAGATTGTGAAAAATGATTTGAGTGGTTAGGAATAGAGAACAACCAAACAAATTTACATTATACATCAGTAAGACAATGTTTTATATTTTCCAGGTTTGTGCCATATATTGGGATTGTCACCATCCTCATGAATGATTACCCGAAGTTCAAAGTAAGTTTCTTCTCTAATAGGTAACAGTTATTTATTTGCTTTAGTTTGGATCTGTTGTGTCTAAAGTATTGGTTTGTTTGCTTCCCTCAGTATGCTGTGCTCTTCATGCTGGGTCTTTTCGTTTTGGTCCACCGGGAGTGAGACAATCAGCACTGAAGATGGCTATAAACTGCGTCCAGAAAACCTCAGTCATGCCTTTCAAACCAGATTTACTTTTTCAAAACCAACATAATTGTTCTTTTTTTTTTTTTTTTTTTACCATTTGTTAATTATTTTTTTTTGTAGAAACATGGTTAGTCTTTGCATTCTCAAAAGTCCAAATATTTTTGTGATAATATAGTTAAAGTTCACTTTAGTATGTTATCTTCAAAAGGTGAAATGGCATTCTTAAAAATAAATCAGCTTTTGTGAATTTCCTATTCATTTATTGTGTCTGGAAGTGTATTGTGGCAACTGAAAATTAACTTAATATGTTATCTGGTTAGCATAATTTTGTAGTTACATAAACTGTTGTATTTTGTTTGGCCCCTCACAACAGGACCAATTTTTTTATTAATGTAAACGGTTCATCCTTTTTGGAAAGAAAAAAAAAACTTCATTTTGATTTGTAGATTTATGACGATATGTTTAACAAACCTTTTTACAAGTCTGTATTGGAAATGAAAATAGTGTATGTCATCACTGAGAGACCTACATTAAAATAAACGTTTCAAAGTTCTTGGTAAAATGTTTCTTTATGAACTCTTTCCAAAAATCTAGTAAATGTAACTGTTAAAGATATTTTTTCAGACTGAAAAATTTCTTATAAACCAAGTTTTCAATATCAAGCTTCCCAACAGTTTAGTTAACTATAAAAGGTAACTTTTTAAAGATTATGCTGAAAATTTTGTAAGAAAAGGGCTTATTTTGGTAAATGTCTTAATGGCCAAAGTTGGAGATCTGTCGGTTGGTTTATATGGGTGGAATATCCTTCTATATATTTTATATGGGGACAGTAAAGTGGTCTTGTATTATTAAAATAAATAACTTCCATATGCAACGAAAACTATAAGCTATTTTAGATTAACCTTAATAAATGCTTAATTAGTTAAATTAGCAAGACTAAAACTGATTCTGTCTGTAGGGCAGGACAAGTTTGTTCATAAAGCCCCATGCATAACAAAGACAATTCTGAGGCAAATAACAAATGTTTAACAAAGAATATGAATTACAAATTTCTCAAACAGATTCTATGATTTATTCTTTGATTAAGAGCTGCTGTAAATAAACATCTTTCCAGGATTTTCTCAGGATTTCAGGGTACAGGCTTACCAGCTGAGGAACATGGGAAGTAAATCCTGCCTCATCTTGTAGTTTTGTGGTCCTGGAAGCTGAATAAAAAGGTCTCTAAATTTTTCGTATTTCTGTCTCATTCACACTTGACAATTTACACTGAAATGAGTGTAAGTGTTTTTTTGAGAACAATGGGATAAATTCAGAATCCATTTTGCAATTAAATACAATAATAAATACAATTCCTACCATAAAACATGGTGGTGATGGCATCATGCTGAGGTGATACAATTTTCCAGCAAGGACAGAGGCTACAGTCACAGTTAATGGAAAAGTTCTTAAAATACAGGGTAAGAACAGAGGGAGAGATTTACCATTAGGCAATACTAGGCAGTTGCCTAGGGCCCCAAGTTCATGGGAGCCCCATAAAACTCTATATGTATGGCTAATACAACTATTCCTTATTTGTGCACATTAATTGTGTTTTTGATAAAGATCCTTTCGCTAAAATGCCATCAGAACGCTTATAAAATTAAGTGTGTCTCACTGTCCACCATATTGGATCAGTCCATTTGCTGCACATATTCAGAAATGTCCAGCAAAACATTTGAAAAGAAACAGTGCAAAGAGCAGTGTTTCCAACTTAGCGCTTTTGCCGCTATATTTAGCAACTTTTCAGACCCCTCTAGCACTTTAATTTCAAAAAAGCACCCAGCAGCAACTGTTTTCTGCTACTGGAGACTTTGGCGACAACATATAAATGCAGCGAGCTCTGCTCTCCAGAGCAAGTAGATTGGCTCTCCTCTCTCTTGTCTGCTGTTATGATTCATACAGCTATTATTTCATTTAACTGAAAATGGAGAACAGATAAGCAGATCATGGCTTGTCTAGAGTGAAAAAAAGGACTGGGTTATTTACTTTTGCTGTCGCCTTTTTGCAAACACAGGAAGGAGCAATCAGCTAAGTGAGCTCAGTTCTTGGAAAAAATCTTTCATTCCTTTTAAAACGGAATGAAAAGTCAGTTGAGTACAAAACATACAGAGGAAAACAACAAGAAGAGAGGGACAAAACGTAGAACAAATAATTTATATCAATTCTTTTTAAATTTCTCTATCTGTATAATAGGTGTGTTTTATGTGTTGTCCTCTCAATTCAGAGGGCCCCCTGCCTGTGTTTGCCTAGGGCCCCCAATTTACTAAATCCGCCCCTGGGTGAGAAAAAATGTTAGAAGCTGTTAGAAAACCTCAGTTTTAATCTGAAGGTTCAAATTTCAGTTTAACAGCTTCACAAGCCTAGTTAAGAAGTCGGTTATCTTTCATAAAGTTAAAAACCAGGAAAATAAAGTAGGAACATGTAAGAGGTGTTTTACCGAGTGCCGTGTTTAACTGTGTTCAGAGGTCAGAATGACCATTTAGTATTCCAATATGCTGTCACACCAGTGGTCATGATAACACAAGGTTAATTAAACCTAAACTATGTATTTTAGCTCTACCTCAGCATCTATACATCAGTCGCTTTGATCCTGAAGTGCCAAGGCAAGTGTCTTGGCCTGGTCCATTCAACTTCTGAGCTTGGGCACTGTGATGCTGTGATGTTCAGACAGTCTTCTAATTAGAGTGACATTCAACTGTGCAGAATTTACCAAATCTCAATATGCGTGTTAATGTCAAAGGTTATTAAAAGAGCAAGACAGAAGCTGCGGCTCCTTCACAATACCCCAACTTTAGCACCCTGAAGTGAGGAAGAGGCCATCTGTCTCATCAGCTCTAAATTAGCAGTGAGAATCAGCAGGTTCTCCTGTCCTCTTGGAAGTGACGATGAGCGTAGTAGCACGGCTCAACTGGCCAAATGTCATATGGCTTGATGCAATGGCGTAACAACACAACAATAAGCAACATTATCTGGGTGGGCCCATGAAGTACAACACCCCAGTCTACTCTGGGTTACCCATAGTTCCAAGTCGTATTGTAAAAAATAAAATACTCAAATACATCATTCTTTTAATATCGTTATTGCGGTTTGAAACACATTATATGAGTGTATTTTTTACCAACCGTCTAATGAACTATACATAGTTATTAACATAGTAATTAAAAGTACCACTGTCTACTTTGCTATTGGTGTCGTGTTTAAATGGCTCACTATCATGTTGAAATCTGCCATGTGTTGGGGTATAAATAAGGTCGATCTGTACAGTATCAGGTGGATTTAGGAGGAATTTTTTACACCATTACATCTGCAAAGAGACATCCTAGTATATGATTGCGCATGGGGCCCCGAAGAGGTTGGGGGTCCCTAAGCAACTGCAGTCCCTGATTACCGATAGTTACGCCATTGGCCTGATGTAAACGGGCCAAATTGGGCCCCTGGAATGTAGATATGAGGTGAACCTGAGCAATTTGCATTTTGTTTATCAGAGATGCAACTCGAGCCGAAATGCACAACATTTAAGGAATAAAATAATGGCTTCACATATATAGGCTAATTAAAATAAACAGAATAAACAGAATTCCTGAGTTTCATTCGTGTAAGTACCGAAGAGGATTAGGGCCACTGAAAAAAAGTTAACTAATTATTTAATTTTATTTCAGTATATTATGAGAAAAAAGTCAGAATTCTGAGGAAAAAAGCCAGACTTTTTTCCTCAGAATTCTGACTTTAATCTCAGAATTCTGACTCAGAATTCAGAAAATCAGAATACTGACTTTAATCTCAGAATTCTGACTTTTTTCCACATATTATACTGAGATAAAATTTAAAAAACAGTAACAATCCTCTTCCGTATGCAAGCCATAAGGACGAGAGCGCGTAAAATATTAATTCAGTTTTCGTTTTGTTCAAATATAATAAAATCCACATGAAAGTAAATCCAAGAGTAAAAAAAAAATAATAATATGATGCTGATGTTTTTTTTACACCTTCGTTTAGGTCCTAAATTACGCACATCCTTCTGGTCTCATCTTTACGCAGCAGTGAAGGAGAAGTAAGCGCAGCCCCTAAAGAGAGCCCACCCCATCCAATAGAAGCTATAAAAGCAGGATGAATCTGCAGCGATCCATCACTAACAGGAGCCGTTTGGGGGGAAAAAAATATTTAAAAAAACTGCGCTAAGGAGAACCGATCCACAGTCCTGCTTGAGATGAGAGGACTCACGCTTAGAAATGTTTGCCACTGTGGCTTATTTACTTATCTCGTCTTGTTCTCTTTCATGTCTTTGAGTGCTGCTGTCAGTTTCGACTTGACTGAGCTGAGGAATAAAGTTGCGAAAATCAAAGTAAATCCTAGAGGCAATCTTTGGGCAACAGGTAAGATACAGAAATATTCAAAGTTTTAAATATGCAATATCAAGTTTGAAACTTTTACGCACATGTTCAGTCGGGTTCTCAGATGTTTTCCCTTTAAATTGTCCAGTCAACGTGGATAGAAGTCAAATGAGGGATTTTTGTTTTTATTTATTGTTTGGCAGGGCATTTTATGGGGAAGAAAAGTGTGATGGAAACCCCTCTGCTGCCTTCCCCCGAGGAGTGGGCTGTGGACGCGCTGGAAATCAGTCTCCCGGCCGCGCAGAGCTCGCTTGGGGAGCTTTTCCAAGAGTTTCTGCGGGTGGCGTTAAAGGCGCAGGTGGACACAGACGAGAGCCGTTTGAAAAATCAGGTAAAGACACAAAAGTTTACCTTCTCTCAATTTTATTTTCTGATTTTTTTTTTTTTTTTTTTTTTTTTTTTTATCATTCTTTTCTCAAATCTCATTTGATGTTTCCACTTTTTGTTTCAGGAAGCGGAGTTTCTAGCGAAGATCTTAGAAAACTACATCCAGAGCAAAAAGTGACGATGAAGTTTGGCGGTGGCACGCATGGACTGGAGACCTAAAATGATTTGCAAATAAAATATCCAGAAACAAGCTATTATTTTTCTGCTCGTAATGATTAAAATCTGCTGTAACCACCAACCTGTCACATTAAACTGTTTTTTTCAGTCAATATATATACATTACATGTTGTTTATTTATTTGGGCTCTTTTTATTTGATAATAAAAAACTGAAAATGTAGCAGGTAAATTATATAAGGATGAACTCTAACTAAAAAATAAAGCATTTTAATTCTCCTCTAAATGTTCCTCTGGGCAATGCTAAAAAAGAATGACCCAAAACCCCCTCTGGTGAAATAAGCTTGACTCACACTCTTATTTATTTAGGAGCCAAAAGATTTGACCACCAGCTCTCAAATGAACATAAGACATTTTAAGCAATTACAGCTGATAGAATGAGTTGGTCCAAAGATTTCAGAATCTGCTCTGTTAGATTTCCTTCCACAAGGGGTTTAATGTGACCTTTTCTCTTATTTATAGAGCCATTACCAACATTTGTTTGTTTTATTACTTTGTGTCTGTTCATTCTTATATAAGTACTCATGTAGGCAGCTTACATAAATCAAAATTCTTAGCTCCCTGAGCATT